ACAGGTGACCCCACCTCATTCTTTCGCAAATATATCGACTAGTATTCAAGATAAATGGATATTTTTTTCATCCAAATAAAGACAAATGAACAAGCTTTAAGATAATACCAATAACTCTACATGCCCAAAAATTGACGAGAGCCTGATTCCACCACGCTGCCTCACATATATTATTTTTGTGGATGCGTCAGGTAACGGCAGCATTAGGCGGTCGTCATTTTTTTCTCTTTTTTGTGGCTTTTGGAGTTATTGATATCATTTTAAAGTTTGATTTAATTTTCCAATGTAGGTAGGCGGTTTTACTCCCCCATCGACACACGCAGGGTTAACCCAGGTTAAGAGGAATACGATATCACTGCAGAAGGACCAAGATACTCGATAAAACACTATACGGATTCGGTATTCGAACTTGGGGTCGCTTGCGGGAGAGACTGCTACATCACAGACTTCGTTCTCTTGAAACTTCTCGTTTTTGGTTCTGCCTAGAATAAAACATATACCCATCCATTTTGAGTAGAAGTAAAATTAGCCGGGAAATAGACGCCGACGTTTTGTATTTTCCAAAGCTTGACTCTGCTGGGAAACTCCAAATTTACGTCTTTGTGTCTTTGATCAACGTTTTCTTCTAGTAAAATCCACACAGAAAATGTATTCTAAATGAACATAGAAGGTCCTGAGCTAAGAAAAAAATCAACCAAGTATTGCCCAGAGGACGGGAAAATATCGGATCTTTCATTTCATGATTTTGACGAGAGTCTAATTTCCCCACGGTCGCCGGGGAGGTTTTTGGTGAGAGGGGTGGGTCTGTGCCAAACTTAGTCTTAGTGATCACCCGGTTCATTTACCTACGTGGGTATAACCGTAGCCTTAGCTGAGAGCAATCTGAGGAGAAAGGTTACAGGGTTACATTTACTGGTCGCCACCTCAGAATTCTGAAGTCCATTCTGTTCAGTACTTTGATTTGAAACATTTGGCGTAGTACCTTAATTTTTAGTTTCACATCTTGTAAAGCTTTTACGGAAGCAATTCTAAGAATGATATTGATAAAGACTGCATGGATGGCTGGTGATTCTATAAATAAATCATTGATGGTCAAGGCCAAGGTCAATTGATACAGACTCCGAATGATCTTACGATTTTGATAGAAAATATAGAACATTTAATTTCTGAAATCATACGCTCGTAATTCAAAATTGTCAAATATGTTAGCTTGAACTTTGTAATTCTGAAGTAGCCTAGTGGCTAAGCTTACGGACTCATAACCATAAAGTCGTGGGTTCGAATTCCGTCACATCCAGCGTTATGTTATTAAGAAAGGCTTATTGCAAGACCTGTCCTCACTTAACACATGTGAGAATGGGTACCTAGCTATAGACAGCGAAAGGTCTTATCAAGTCTTATCTGATTTGACAGCACACACACATACATACACACAACACACACACACACACACACACACATACACACACACACACACACACATACACACAACACACACCCACCCACACACACACACACACACACACACAAACACACTTGAACACAAACAGATAACACACCA